ATTAAGTTTTTTAAGAAATAATAAAATTGAAATTATAATATTGATTATTATAAATTAAAATTAGAATCTTGATCAATGTAAATTGAAATTATTATCTTAGTTAATTATTAAATTTGATATAGAATTTAAACTTGAAAAACAAAAAAATTATAAAAAACAAAAATACATGTACTATATTTAATATTTTCTAAAAGTTTAGTGGGGGCAACTATTCTACATTCGCTTCATTTGGTACCGCTAGAAAGAATTTCATTAATCTAGTTAATGGATGTTTGTCAAGTAGATTATTTTAATACAAATTTGGTATTTTATAGATCGTTTTAAAAGAAAAAATTGTTTCTAAATTAAATTGAAATAGATCATATAATTAATAGATTATATATTGAATTTAACTGTCAATTTAAAAATTAAGTATGGAGACTTGATGAAGCTCCTGCAAATGGCTGTTATTATTCCTTATTAAACAAGAAGAAAAGGAAAAGAAACCAATAGTGTCGTCATGTGTATTCAATTGACTTTTTGTATGGCGGAATCATTATTCATTACCAAGATTGTCAATTTCGTACTAGTGAGTGTGCAAGTTTGCTTACTAAACCATACATATTGGGTATCAAAAAATATTGTATATTGTTTTGGATTTACTGCAATTGTTGTATTAATTAGCTATAATTTTACAATAATATTTAATAAATAAACAAATGATTAACTCCAAAAAAATGTGAAATCCTAAACATAAAAAACTTGTTCAAAAAAAATACAAATTCATAGCATGTCCTTAGGAATTCTTACAACTTGCCTTTTAAACAAAAGAAACATGGCCCTTAACCTGGTAAGGTGCTCTTTCATTCGGATAATTCCACCCTCTAGCATGTTCTTATCATAGTATAAGCACATTAAATTATTTCTTTTATTTGGTATAACCACACAATAAGCCCTACCTAGATCGTTTGTTCTGGACGGAGAAGATGCAACGGAATCATCACCATGTCGACGTTGATGAGAGAATTTTTTGATTTAACCGTTTAGGTTTTCGGCGCTATCCGCCATGTATTTTGAATGAATAATGCTTGCGCGGTGAAAGAATCCTCCCCTCTAGCCGACATGTAAGATATTTTTTTTTGGTTAAAACACTAATTTGGTATTCATTTTTTTGATTTACACTAAATTACTCTTAAATTTAAAAAAATATCAAAAATATCTTTAAACTTTAATTTTCGATAGCAATTTCATTCTTCTGTCCATGGAAGTGACAAATGACAATTAAGTTGCTAGAAATCACACATTTTTAAAAAATAATGATGTGGAAAAGGAAACTTGCATAAAGTGTTGAAGTGGCTTTTTCTCTATATTTTTATGTAACATTTTTAATCTTATATAAACAAATAAAACCTATGTATTTTATAAATTATGTAATTTTTTAGTTCATAAATTAAAAAAGTCTGAACTGTCAAGGCATGCCATTTGTCTGTAATTAATGAATAATAAGAAAGTTAAAATATTAATTTGATCCTTCAACTTTTAAATTTATACTGAAATTGTCCCTTAATTTCAAAAATATCAAAATTATCTTTAAACTCTAATTTTCAATACCAAAAGAGTCCTTCCTTTAATAGAATTGTCATGTAACTTATTATTTTATCATAAAATCAGTTTTTTTTTTTAAATACTAATGACATATAAAATCAAACAGTTATATTTTATCATCATAATATATTTTCATTTACATATTAAATTGATATATAAGTAAAGTTGAAAAACCAAATGAATATTCGTAATCAAAGTTTAAAAACTAAGTTAGTACTTATCTTCATAGTTCAAGGACTAATTGGGTATTATCTCTAAAGTTTTAAAACCATTTTGTTATTAAAAATTAAAGTTAGGGACAATTTTGATATTTTCTGAAGTTAAAAGATAGTTTTAGTACAAAACTGAAAGTTGAGAGACTAAATTAGTATTTTAACCTAACAAGAACTAAATTAACCATTTCTTCGACAACCAAATTTTTACTTGCTGAAACCACACAGAATTCCTGCTTACAGACAAGAATAGCTGGCAGAATGGCTCCATCATTCTCATTACAACTTATATCACCCGAATAAACACCCTCAACAAATCCACTTCAGTTTACTAAAACTACCCCAATACTCAAACTACCTCTGATCACTTCTCATATCCCAGCCATAAGACTCAACACTAGCACACCCTCTCCAATCATTAGCCATACCCCAAAATAGAGAAGATGGTAACACTAGACAAAAGCAACATAAATGATAACACTAAAAATTAACATTAATAAAATTAGAATTCAGTGATTGAATTCATCTACCTAGAGAGACCAAGCTCTCCACATATGGACCCATAGGCCAGGAACGGATAATGGGATTATGGACCCATAGGCCAGGAACGGATAATGGGATTGCCAATTTCTGCAACCTTGTTAACTGATTGATCATCGAGGTCATACAGAGCATATTCATGTCTTGAATGCCAAAAAATCAAAACTTTTCTGTTTCCAATAAAACAGACTGGAGTCATCACATCCCGGTCCAATCGATCATTTAAAGAAGCGTTGAAGTTGTCATCAGTGCTACTAACACTGAACAATTTAATCCAAGATTTTGTACGTCTCACCACATTTTCCTCCATGATCCACACATCATAGGTAACCTCGTCCGGAGACACTACCAGACAAAGAGACTCTCCTGAAAGCTCCAAGCTAATACACGC